GCTGCTCACTGTTGAACATTGAGTACTGCAGTAGATAGGCCTTGGTCTGACCCAGCAAGAATCTTCTTATGCAACACCTAAACCCAGTTGCCTCTCCTCAACCCCATACATATTGAAAATAATTGTTCTCCTTACAGATTACTTTATTTTCCAGATTGCCCTCCCAATAACTTTCTGTTCTAAAAATCAATCCCCCTACAATGCATCTCACTGCACCCCCCAATTTAGTTTCTCCAACTATTTCTTTTCACCTTCCCGCTTTTCAGCTCCCCTTCAGTGTCCAGTCCTGTGGCAATTAACAGTTGTTGTTTCACCCATCCCTGCTACTGGGACTCTGGGCAATGTACAACAGTGAATAAAAACATAAAAACTTTACAATTAAAATACAACAGAAATCACTCCCCATTCCGGACTGCCCGGCTACCTTGTGGGCAGGAGAGAAAGAGGGACGACTGATGTGTGATATGTGGGGATGCTTTTGGGAAGCTTTTGAAAAATTAAACTGATTCTGGATAGATCTGCTACAAAGTGCTTATTATACCAGTAATTAAAAATCTTCAGTACTTCCCAGTATGTTTCTGGGCACAATTCAAAGTGCTGATCGTGGCATTGAAAGTTCTCAACTATTTAGGACCAGGGTATATGGACAGCTGCATTGTTCTGGATGAACCTGCCTAGCAGTGGAGTTCGGCATCTGAGGGCCTTCTCCAAAGAACTCTGTTTGCTGAAAGTAGATGGGTGTCTGCAGGAAAGCAAGTATTTTCTGCTTGATTATAGCATTAATTATATTATATAGAGGTCCTCCTAGCAGCTTCCATACTATTTTTCTGGTGCCAGACTCTCCTGTATTTTTTGTTATTAATTGGTTATGCAAGAAATTAAGTGTTCTGTTTTCAGCGTTTACTTTATTTTTATTCCTTTCTGCTGTCTTGTTTTGGCTTTACTCTTGTGGATGTTTTATTGCTTTAGTTTTGTTTATCTCTCTGTCTCCATAAACTGCTTGGATATAGCTTTTGCAGAAGGTCGATATAAAAGTATTGTAAATGTGTGATGTCTGTTCTCATACATACAATGCATCTGATGAAGTAAGTTCTTCCTTGCAGGTCATGCCACATTCAACTTGTTAGTCTTAAAGAAACCATGAACCTTTAAAAAAGAATGTTGGAACGAAATACAACCTGTCTTCTATTGAATTAGCATATGAGTATGCACAAGTAGGGGAATAGATCACCAAATCAAGAATTCTTTATTGCTTTTAAGAGGTATAACTACTGCTTCATGCTCAGCAATGAAATAACCAGCATGAGCTGAAATGTTTACAGAGATAAACTTGTTGACTTTTAAAAATTAAACAACTGTTTTGAATACACTTTTAGAGTTCCCTGAATAATGGGCACACTAATTCAAAGCAATATGACTTCTTCATAAAATATTTTTCCTTTACTTTACAAACAGTACATGCTTATGGACAATGTCAGTTCAGTGTGGCCATTTTTTCTTGCTTCTGTTTTGTCTTTCTAACAGGAAGGTTGCAGTTGATAGTTATGAGAGTTCCATGACAAAAATCACTATACATGCCAAGTATAAGCTGCACTCTTAAATATAGATTCATGAAAATCTATTATTTATTTAGATAATTTCTAGGCCACCTTTCCACCTAAATAGGGTCCCCAAGGTGACAAACATTCAAATATCTAAGACTTTAAAACAGCATTTTAAATACAGTATGAATAAAATATTTAAACAATTTATGAAAACATATAAATACAATGATACAACCAGGGAAGAAGGCCAATAACAATTATTGAGGGGGGTACGCCAAGCAGAAAAAATGTCTTCACTTGCAGACGGAAGACAATGATAGAGTGGGACAGTCTCCCTGGGGAGGGAATTCTATAGTTTTGTTGCCATGACTGAGAAGGCCCACCTGGCTATCCTCAGGTGGACAGGGCCCCTGAAGCAGGGCCTCCAAAGAGAACTGGAGTGGATGAGTATGTGCATATGGGAAAAGGCTGGCCCCTAGTTATTTGGGGGGCGTTCCATGAGGGGGCGTGGTCATCCCCGGCGTGATGACATCACACAGAGTGATGTCATCACATACTGGACACAGCTTTCATATCCCCCTGCTTTTTTCCAACCATTTAAAGGGAACCTTCCCTTTAAATGGTTGGGAAAAATAAGGGCCAATTGGCCTCTTGCCGGGCAGTTGGGAAAAAGTAAGGGGCAACTGGCCTCTTGCTGGGCAGTTGGAAAAAGTAAGGGCCAACTGGCCTCTTGCTGGGCAGGAGCCAGCGGCCCCCACTTGGAAACACGCACCTGCCCTACAAGAGGTGAACTTTCCTCTTGCAAGACAGGAGCTGGCGGCCCCACTTGAAAAGAGTGGGTGCCATGCGTACCTGCCTTGCAAGCAGTGAATTTGCTGCTCTTTTGAAATGGGGCTGCAGATGACTGTTGGGGGTGGGGCTTCTCCTTGCTGGCCAGTTGGCTGGCATTGGGGGAAGCCCTAAAAATCGGGGGAACCCCTGCCCCCACCTGGGGACTGGCATTCCTAAATTCTCCTGGAGAAAACGCCTGCTTTGGAGGGTGAGTTCTATGGCGTTATCGGTCCCTCCCTTCTCCAACCCTATTCGCCCTAGGCTCCACCCCCAAATCTCCAGCAATTTTGCAGCCTAAACAACCCTAAAAGAATACTAAACCTCTTTTCTTTGGCATTCATTAAATAGAGTGTTGGGTCTGTTACTGAAGAAATATAACTTGCTGTTGGAGGAAGCTTTCTAACTAGTGTAAAAGGAGCAGGTGGTGATAGGAAAATGCAAAGGAAGGCTTTGTTTACTGATAACACTGTTAAATGTAATTTGTTTCCATCTCCCTGTGGATTTCTGTGAGATAAGGATAGCAGCCTATATCCAGTATCATATGTGGGCTCCATCAGTACACTAGGCAGAGGAATTTTGGAGAAATTATGGTACAACTTGGAACAAACTTAACCTTATGAATACTTGGCCTCCCTTGTTCTGGTAGTTAAACAGACATCCAGTTTGCTTAGATTGGTTTTGGATCACAGTATGTTTAGACCTCTGCTTTTTTGTTTCAATTGTAAACTCCTTTTTCCTTGAACCTGGGGGACTACAACGAGGTATGCTATGGAAAATGAAAGTTCACCTGTTCTTTGTACACTATATTTAATGTCCCTCTTAGAAGTAAAATATCTGGAACGTGGAATTGAGAGTGGCATGATGGAAGGGACAAAATGCTGAGTTTTAGTGTGTACTTGGTGAAGGGTCTTGGAGTATGATCCTCTCAGTCAACCTCCTAGGCTGAACTGAAATAGAAGCAAGGATTGCAAACCATTTGTTGCTCAGTGACAGGTCTCCAGAAAAGATAAATGCGTCATCCTTTATAGTTGAATCACAGATCTTTCTTATCACTTCTAGTTGATAGAATGGAACCTACACTAAATCAATTTTGTGCTTATTGAAGATTTAGTTCATAAGATGTTTACTACTTTGAATACAGATATATTTGAAATTTTTAAAAATGTGATAGCTGCAATTGTGTTTGCATATCTTTTTAGAAAAGCAAGAATTGTCTATGTGTGCTCCTGTAGTTGTATCTGGTTTAACATGTTCTGTATAAGGAAAGCGAATGGGAAAGTGAGTATGATGATATCGTTACAACAGTGTGAGCCCCTCAAATGCTAAAGGTTAGATTTATAGCAGGAGTTCCCATCATGCTGATACCTTTCCTGGCACCCCCCCAAGTATTTATAGAAATGACTGGGGTGGGGCTTCTGGCCAGCAGGGCTTCTGATTGGTCATTGGGGATCTGTTTGGCTGTGCAGATTAAAATAACATTGTTTTGGTGGGAGACACCACCACAGTGTTGGTTATATTCTTTCACACTCCTCTTACCGAGTATTACTCCTCATGTCCTCTGTACTTGGGCTTTCTGTGTGTATGTGGGGGGGGGGCACTCCATCTCCTGCAGTAGCCATGTTGTGGTTGGCTCTTCCTCCTGTGGCAGCCATTTGATGATAGTGGCTACCAACCTGTGTCAGAATTCCAGAGGTAACCACAGGCTTTAAAAGGTTGGGATCACTTGAGCTATAGGCTATATCATTCCTGTTTTAAAAATGTACACCCTGTCCAGCTAGGGTATTCAAGGTGGTGTTCATAAAAATATGCATTCTACTAGTGTCAAGGAGCTAGGATGGGTTACAAAGGTAAAGGTTCCCCTTGCCCGAAAGCCAGTCGAATCCGACTCTAGGGGGTGGTGCTCATCTCCGTTTCCAAGCCGAAGAGCCAGTGCTGTCCAAAAACGTTTCCGTGGTCATGTGGCCAACATGACTAAATGCCGAGGCACATGGAGCACTGTTACCTTCCCACCGAAGCAGTACCTATTTATCTACTTGCAATTTCTTGCTTTTGATCTGCTAGGTTGGCAGGAGCTGGAGCCGGAGGCGGGAGTTCACTCCGTCACATGGCACTAGGGTCTTGAACTGCTGAACTACAGACCTTCCGGTCTGCAGCTCAGCATCTTAACCTCTGAGCCACCGTGGCCTAGCACTGGGTTAATTTTACATTTGCTGCTGAAGCCACAAAAAAGTCATTGATAATCTTGGTCAAAAAGTGTTTTGTTTTTTTTCACCCTGAGCTTCTGTCAAAAGCTTTGCCTTTCAGAAGCACGATATAAATGCTCAATAACCACCTGCCATACTAGGTCAACCCAGTTAATGTTATAATTCTTTTGATTAACAAGGAGAGAATGTGATTTGTTCATACTTTCCTGCCTGTCATCAGCTGCCTAACATTTTTAGTTTTGTGAGTTGGGCAGGAATTAAATTTAGTCTCCAGCTATCATTCTGTTCTTCTTCATTAGACCACTCTAGATAAAAAGAGCTACAATATCACCAAATGTGGCTACAGCCTGTTTAATTTTCTAAAATAATTTATAATTGCTTTTAAACATAATTAATTGAACCCTGTCTTCTTCATTTTTAGGCATGTACTGGTATAGAAAATATTGATGAAGCAATCACCTTACTTGAACAAAATAACTGGGATTTAGTGGTAAGTGTTTTATTTTTAATAGTAAAATAGAAAAAAATGCATATATTGGGAAAAGATAGTATTACCGATTGGGAATATGAAAGGTAATATCTCTTCCATTGTTTACTGCTTTGATATAAGTGTATAATTTTGGTTACCTTTTCAAAATATTTACCTAGTACTTTAAATGTAACTATGTTGGGATAAGTCTAGCTGGAATAAGCCTAAGTAGGTCTACTGAGCATCCTACTGAAGTCTGTTTGATGGATCTTACTGCAAGGAAAGCTTTCTGAGGATTGTACTGTTAGGTACCAAAGCCTCTAATTACAGAAACTTGAATCCATTCCTGGATCCTGTATGCAATGGTCCAGGCTGATCTCACAGCTGGAGAGGGAACCCAAAGATGACATGACTTGTTTCCTGCTGTTAGGAATGAGGGCATATCACTGTTGAGTAGTCAGTGACAGAACACTCCATATTGTGATGACTGTACTAGAACAAGTTGGCCCCAGTAAACAAGAAGTGGGATGGTAGAAGACACATCCAGGAAAAAGTCCAGGAACTGCTTGTGGCTAGGCAGTAGGCAAAAAACTAGTCTTTCAAAGGATCAGTCCGTTGAAGAAGATGTTGACAGAATTACTGTGTAACTGACTGATAATCTTTGAACTATCTGCAGGGAACCGACTTTATTTTCCTTTCCATTACACTCCCATTACCTTCCCACTGAAGAGTACCCTCCCACTGCTAGAGTATGAAAAAAGAGGAGAAGGGCCCAGACTGCTGTGGTCTGTACTACAGTCTGTATTAGAGCTCCTGCAGAGTTCCCTGGTAACTTATCTGTCACTTTGCCTAATCATTGTTAGCCTGAATATTTAGCATCAAGCCTTGCTGTGTAGACTGCATGTCATTCATAGTACGACACTGGTTTCTGATGTCAAATGTAGTCATAAATATGTAAATAAAAATAAGTTACACAAAAAAGGCATCTCTTTCCACATAAACTATCCAAATGCTTTAATTGTATAAAAAAGAATATATAGTCAGGTGGGTAGCTGTTCTGGTTTGAAGCAATGGAGCAAAGTTTGAGTCCAGTGGCACCTTGAAGACCAACACAGTTTAATTCTAGGTATACGTTTTCCTGCCACTGGATTCAAACTTAATACAAAGGAATAGTTAACATTAACTCCTGGCTTCTCTGTCTTTCTGATTTTAAAATGTGTTCATGATGTTGAGGCATCATTGTTTTTTCTTGGGTTTTTGCTACATGTTGAATGCCACAATGACACTGGGTTTCATAGATTGTCTAGTAGTATAACAATGCCATCATAAGCAGAGTAGCACTCTTCTGAGCCCATTGACTTCAATGGATTTAGAAGGATGTAACTGTTTAAGATGGCACTGTAAGAGGCGTAACACTAGCAGTATGCGTCAGAGTCTGCAGTCTCTTGGGAACTGACTGCTGAAGAGAACTGCAGTCTCCTATGAAAGAACATTAACATAAATGGAGGTGGGTATATGGCATTCAGAAAATGTGATGGTTTAGGCTGAGATATTAAAATCCAGCAGCAAAGGAATCGCTGAACTATGGTGAAATTCATGACTGCCAGCTGCCAATATATAACTGTATTGATTGGACTGTGGCATCCATTTGAGGAACCACATTGTATATGGACCTCCCGATTTTTAAGAATTGACTGTGGAGCTCACAGTCACTGAATTTTGTATTGACCAAATTATTGATAAAACTACACTCTTTAGGCACATAGAGAAATACAGAAGAAGGAGGAGTTGGTTTTTATACCCTGCTTTTCTCGACCCTAAGGAAGAAGACGACACCTCAGGGTGTCTATTGTGGGGTGGGGAATGGAAAGGAGTTTGTAAGCCGCTCTGAGACACCTTTGGGTAGTGAAGGGTGGGGTATAAATCCAATCTCTTCTTCTCTTCTACCCTAAGGACTCTCAACGCACCTTACATTTGCCTTCCCTTCCTCTCCCCACAACTTACCTTGTGAGATAGGTGGGGCTGAGAGAGTTCTGAGCAGGAGGCTTCATGTGAAGGAATGGGGAATCAAAACCGTTCTCCAGATTAGAGATTTCTGCTCTTAACCACTACACCACCCTGACAGAACCAGTTAGTGCCAAATGAGATCAGTAAAAAAATCCCAATAATTAAAGAAGTAAAAAAAATGAAGTTTAGGTTCCTTAGTTCCAGAAACAAGGAACTTTGTTAGATGGACTGCACTTTAAAAGCTCACAAGTGCTGTATAAACAAGTAATGGACTGTGAAGGGTTAATGCCTCACAGAGCCAGAGAGCCTTGAGTGACAGGCTGCTCAAAATAATTTGATTGGTTAGTGTCAACTGAGCAGAAAGACTTGGGAACTGGCTGCTGAAGAGAACTCAGTTTGAGTTTAGTCCTGACTGTGGAAAGTTTAACTCTGACTGAGGAGAGTTTAGCTCTAACTGAAAACAGTTTCATAATGACTGAGGACTGGGAAGGTTGGCAAGGAAAAATGGGTGGATCACTGAAGTCCCCCATCCGGGCCAGGAAAAAGAGCCTCTAGTTAGAGAAGAGATTCCCTGCCCAGTGGAAAGGAAGAGACTGGGGTATGGGGACATATTTAATCTATTCTGCAGCATGGTTGCCACTTTGATTTTGGGAGTGATCCCTGATGTGCTTAGAGAAGGGATTTGGGTGCTTGGCAGTGTATCTGTGCCTTCTGAAGAGTCATTTAAGCTCAAGAATGTATGCAGGAGTGTTTAGGAAACACTGAAACAAAAGCCTCTGATCTCAAACATATTCTAAGACAGTGTGAAAAGATTAAAATTCTCAGTTGCTGGAAACTTATGAACTGTAGTTTGTGAAAATGTTAACTTACTTCAGAGTTCTTATTGATCTACCACGAACATTTTACCCCTGATTTCACCTGACTTTTCCCTCTCTACGCTGAATAAAATATTTTGTTTATTTTTAAACATTATAAAGCCTCTTGTGTGCCATTTCAGAAAGTTAAGTTAAGAGGATCTTTTTGTCTCTTCCCTCAAGTTTCTGGGCTGAGCCAGCATAAAAATACAGTAATGTGACAAGGTGGGACAGCCATAGATCTTCAGGAAAGAGGAAAATAGATAGAGCTTCTTATTCAGAAAGGAAGACAAAAATAGAGGGAAAATCCTATGGCTGAGGGAGGGAAGAGGGCGAGGTTGTCATGATGGGAAATGTAGTGGCTCTGGTTCATTTAATGAAACTGATTGAGGTAGTCCTCCCCCTTGCAACTTTCAGATCTATCCTCATCTTTTGATATAGAAAACCAGGCTAGAATAGCAAGTATGGTGTAGAATCTGGCTCAATGTTCTTTTCAGTCAGAATATACTGAATATCTTAGCTTCCTGGTAATCAACATGTAGAATTTCACAGAATTCAGTTTTATCAACAGTGCTGTTTAACAGCTGTACAGAGTTGCTAGGAGGGAACATCTAGAACCTTGAAGTTGACTTTTATCAATATACAGTATATATTGATACTGTTACTAAGTATAACTAAATACTTAGTAACAGCTGTCTTGGTTCTAAGCTAGTTCTTGGAGGATGTGGCTAAGCAGATGATAGTGACCATGGATGATACGCAGGGTGTTAGTTCCCTGCCTGATCAGTTTAGGTGCCATGGGGCGCTCTAGACATTGGCAGTAGGGGTGGCTTTTGTCAACCTTATCTACTACACGAATTGCATATGCTTCTGCAAAAGGTTCTGATTTGTTACCTCTGGGACTATCTATTTTAACAGACCTTGAAGACAACTTGGAAGCTTCAATGAGAGCAGAAGTCTGTCTATCTCTTGGAAGAGAATTCCTGCAGCTAGACATTTTTTGTGGAGGGGGCAGAGCGGGGGTGCAGTGGCTAATTTATTAAATTAATAATAAAAAATGGTGCATGGGCCTGATTCATTATCCCCCCCCCCTCGGAAAAGCCTCCAAAGTGTAGAGGAGGTGGGGAGGCTGACCCTTTCCACTCCATCCCCCCTTGAAAGTTCCCTTTTGGAACCCAGCGAGGGGCTGTGATCCTGCGGTTGTGCCGTGTTGCTCTAAAGCCAAAAGCTGGGGCCTCTCACTATAATCCTGGAGGGATGGGTCTTACCCCCCTTGGAGGCTTCAGTCCCAGGGAGGATGAAGCGGGCACTGAATGGGCTGTGCGGCTCCGGGAAGAACTGGCCAATCATTCCTGGCCATGACACCATCCCATTGACTGCCCCTTCCAAAAACCTGCTCCCCGCCCTTCGGCTCTCTTCCCTCCATTCCTCCTGCGTAGGAACCGGGCAAGCCTCAAGGTGGAGGATAATTTTAATGCATGAGGATGCTTATATAATGCAACCTTTTCTTCCAGTGTGGCTCCACTCGGGATGTGGCTGGTGTGGGCTCCCTCATCCCACCCTGAAGCGGCTTTTGTTCCTGGAGGGAAACTTACAGCATTGTGAAAACAAACATGCATGAGGCAGCGGGAGGGAGGGTGAAACCTTAATGACTCCTCAGCCTGTAGCCAGGGAAGAGGAATCAGGATGAGGAAATCAGAACTGCAGCCCCTGACTCAGGCTTTTTACCTCACACTAAGCAACAGAAAACCAAAAAAGAAAGGGAACCAGGTTTTTTGTGCTTTGTTCCTATTTTTACCTCACACTACAGAAAGCTCATGTCTTTAATAGTCCATGCTCCAGCAAGCCCAGGAGGAAGCAGCAGTGGCAGTGGAGAGAGCAGCCCAGCATCCACTGTGAGGGGGTGGCATCTTCCCGGAGGGTGCTAGGCACATCTGGGGGGCAAAGCCCCCTTTGCCCCAGCTGTGGGCCTTTGGTGGAGGCTGGGATTAGGGACATCTGCAGCGTGATTACCACTTTAATTTGGGGCTCAACTCAAGATGTGGGTTGTTTGGATGCTAGTTGTCTGTCATAGATGGAAACCTCCTAGTTAATATTTCTCCCCTCACAACAGCAGTCACTGACTGCTTCCTGCAGCCACAAGCCTGCTCAGTGTGGCCA